CCGCTTTGTCCCTTAGCTTCTGGCTTCTCTGAAGCCTCCTTTCCATATTTCCCATACACATTTAGAATTTTCTCTGGACTTTCTGTGGCACAGTGTTTATTGTGTACTATTTCTCCCTGTGATGGCAGCGTCTAATTATATTTTCTGCAAGGGAAGCTCTCAGCTCAGTGGCCTGTAAACTATGTTAGCCAGAGTAAGCTACTTATGTCTTGGACTGGTAATTGAGCTCCTTGAAATATTTAACAGACGCTCTTCAGTGCAGGAGAGGAATGCTTATTGCTGGTTATTTTAGGTGCAAATCTATTATTTATATCCTGAGAAAGTTGTAGAAAGTGTAGCTTGCCTTAAAACACCCTTGAGTTAATTTCAGTAGAGGGAGGAGTGCAGAAGGAGAGGTTGCTTTTCTTTAAAATATTCTGCTGAGCACATGTTTTAGTAGTGTTGCATGGTGTTATGAGGGGCAGATGTGCACAATAGAACTTGATGTCCACTTACAGCACATGTATAAAAAACAATACATGTTGGCTTTATCTTAGGTGAAAAGTCATGGTATCACCAAAAAAAGTAGTTCAAAGTGGCCATGCATCCTAGTTTTCGGTGGACATTCTTCTATTTAGAAATGTCATTGTTTAGACCAAGCTGATGCATACGTAGGAACAAATACTGGGGAAGTACAGTCGTGCCCCGCTTAATGATTACCCCATATAACAACGAATCTGCTTCATGACGATGTTTTTGCGGTCGCAAAACGATGTTTTAAATGATTTTTTTTCACTTTGCGAAGATCGGTTCCCTGCTTCGGGAACCGATTCTTCGCATTACGACGATCAAAACAGCTGATCGTCGGGTTTTCAAAATGGCCACCGGGGGCTCAAAATGGCTCCCTGCTGTGTTTTTGGACGGATTTCTCGCTCTACAGGCACCGAAAATGGCCGCCCCTATGGAGGATCTTAGCTGGACGGTGAGTTTTCAACCCATTGGAACGCATTGAACAGTTTTCAGTGCATTTCAATGGGCTTTTTTATTTCACTTTACGACGTTTTCGCTCTATAGTGATTTCGCTGGACCGAATTAACATCGTTAAGCGAGGCACCACTGTACAGCAAGGGTCTCAGAGTTGGCCATCCAGAATTGCTAGCATCAGGACAGCTGACTCAGCAAACATGCAGGTCACGTGGACACTTTTTCCCACTCTAATGAAATAAATAGATTGCACTGAAAATACAGTATTGTTTTCAAAATTTGTATCCACATATGTGATTGCTTACAAGATTTCTGCAAATCAGCACCTCTTTTCTCTTTTTTCATGCTGCATTTCTTTTTGGGGGGCAATGGGTAAATGGTGAAAGTGCTGTGAATGGAAGGTGCTTAGAATTCTTTCACAGGGATACCTGGATCCAGCCCTTCCAAAACTGTATTTCCAGAAGAGACGAGGTGACTATTCAACCCACTGAAGTCCGTAAAATGGATGCATCTGTAGCATTGTACTCTATTCTATGTGCACCTTGTTTGTTCTGCAGCTGTGATCATCCTTTTATAGATTAGCCTTGTAGATTCCAACAAAATAATTAAAATGTTACTTTACTGTTCACTTGCTGGATTGCATTATTGAAAAACTCCAATATTAGCCCAATTTGGATCCTTCCAAGCTCTGTGAGAGTTTTGCATTGACCTCTCCCTAGAGTTTTGAATTCAACAAACGGAGAGACCTTTCTGATATTTTCAGCAATACTTCACTGCCAAGTCCTTAGTCCTTGTTCTGATTCTATACCTATAAAAAAGGCCAAGTCCAATGACCATTAAAATTATCTTCACAACTCATCATAAGTATTTCAAATTCATATGGAGAGAAGATTTGAAAAAAATGAGGAGTTTTATAA